GGAGTGGGGAGATTAAAAAGAGTGGGGTGCTGAGAGTGAGGGGGCAGAGTGTGAGAGCGGGTCGCCGAACAACAGAGGTTGCTTCAGAGCTCAGTAATTAGTAGTCAGTATACTCAGTGGACTACTGTGATAAGGAATAAAAGACGCCTGACTTGAGGAAAAGGACCTGGTTATAAAAAAATACAATAAAAATGTATTACATCTCACTTTCCTTTCTTGTTTGGTAAAATTAAACCTTGAAGGTAAATAAAAGATTGAACGTTATGAATTACAGCAGCCGAAGGCGAAGAGAAGGAGTGATCCAGGAATTTATTTCACATTTATTCTTTTGTCTGTAAATCAGCTTAAGCACACTACTTACAAGCTGATATTATTTGCCAATCACACCAATCTGTCTCCTGTAAGCTGATTGTAGAAGGTGCAATCCCTTCACTGTGGTGAACAGACATACAGGGCCATAAATGTACATAATGTATCCTGGAATAATTATGGGATTTAGGGAGGATGTTAGGCTTTGTAAATGCTTTCATTGTGACAGTGTGTTTGACATAGCTGCAGCTGAGTGCACAACACCCCAGGGCACTACTGACATGTCACTGCATGATCATGGTACTTTCTGCTCTCAAGAGAGGTAATATTTGTTCAAACCAATAATAATCACCTCAAACGTCATGCTGCTTCTGTAATCTTTCAGTTCTTTCAGTCAATCGCTCATTAAACAACCTGGTTCTTTTTACATTTTCAGTTTGGTTCAATTCAATATGCTTTATTGGCAGGAATGTAAATATATACATATAATATGTATATTGTTGTTTGCACTGAAAAGAGATTGTAGAAGTTATGGTTGGTTCTTGTAAGAGTGGTGCATCTTGTCAAAATTACGTGAGCCCTGACAGTGACACATCCTGCTGAGCGTCTCATCGTCATATGCGTCACATGTCATATGCACTCAAATTAAAAAAATTAAAAAATAATGGGGCACTAGCAATTATTGTGTAAGAGTTTAATGCGATAAAACCGTGTGACCCCGGAAATGATACCTCTTTGTGTTAGATGGAAGAGACTGAGACGGCTACCAACAGTGTCTAAAATATATTTCTGAAGTGATCACTAATTCCTTGTAAGATTTTGTCTTTAGAATAAAACGTTTAATCGTTTAATGAATTTCAAAATGTGCGATTAGTTGTTTTAATCGGCTTTAATTAGAATTGAAAACTAATTGATCGCACATTTTATGTTATGTTAACATGCATTTTATATAAATAAATGTAGAAATATATATATATATATATATTCATATATTAGGGCTTTCAACAGATTAAAAACTAATTATCACACATTTTTAAATTCATTAAGCGTGATTAAACGTTGTCAACATAAACGCATTAATCTATGCAATTAATGTGGCCGAGATTAATGCAACAAAATCGTTGAGACCGGAAGTAAACTGGAAGTTGACCGCGAAAACGAAACGACTGCTAGCTGTCCATTACATCAAGATGAAGAAAGGAAGTTAAAAAAAAACAGGTGCGACATACAGGAGAGAACTGTGCAGAGGAATTGCTCCACGTGTCAGAACAGAAGGTGGGTGAGTGGCAAACGGACCACTTAAAAGCACTGTCTATTTGGCACGTCAGCTTAGAAGCATGTGCCCACTTCAGTACTGTCAATCTGACTGGGTCGGAAACGAAAAGACGACCCGGCGGGCGCTACCTGGGTCAGGGTTGTTTAGGAGAGCAGCCTTTACCTCCTCTTCAACTCTCCACAAGACAGCTCCCACCACACAAGTCCTGGGCACAATCATGTCTGGCTGGGCACAGGCCCCCTCCTCCTTGGTGAATATTCGAGACAGGGCATCTGGTTTACGGTTCTGGGAGCCAGGCCTGTAGGTAACGGAAAACCGGAATCTACCAAAAAACAGGGCCCACCTGGCTTGGCGGGCGTTGAGACGCTTGGCCGATCTTACATACTCCAAGTTCTTGTGGTCTGTCCAGACCACAAATGGTCCTCCAGCCAATGTTGCCACTCCTCCAAGGCGATCTTGACGGCCAGAAGCTCATGATTACCCACATCATAGTTTGCTTACGCTGGAGACAAACGGCGAGACAGAAATGCACAGGGGTACGTTGGGACAGCACCGCCCCCTACCCTACGTCTGAAGCATCGACCTCCACCACGAACTGTCTTGGCGGGTCCGGCTGGGAGAGGATGGGTGATGACATGAACCGGGCCTTCAGGTCCTGAAAAACTCCCTCTGCTTCGGGGGTCCAGATGAAAGGTCGAACGCTGGATGTAAGAGTGGTCAGTGGAGCAGCCACACGGCTGTAGTTGCGAATAAATCTCCTGTAAAAATTGTCGAAGCCCAAAAACCTCTGCAGGTCCTTCCTAGTGCCTGGTCTCGGCCACTCTAGGACTGCACCCACCTTGGTTGAGTCCATCCTTACCTGCAACTCGGCAATGATGTACCCCAGGAAGGTCACAGTGGATGAGGGAAATTCGCACTTCTCAGCCTCCACGTATAACCGGTTCTCCAGTAACCGCTGGAGCACTTGGCGGACATGCTGTATGTGCTCAGAGGGGTCTTTGGAAAATATTATAACGTCATCTAAGTAAACAAACACAAAACGTCCAATCATGTCCCTAAGTACGTCATTGACCAGGCATTGAAAAACTGCGGAAGCATTAGTGGAAATCAATACAGGGCCTCAGAGTGCCGTCCTTCTTTTCCACAAAGTAGAAGCCTGAGCCCAGGGGGGACGACGAGGGACGTATGAGGCCCGCATCAAGGGAATCCTTGATATATTTCTCCATAGCGTCCCGCTCGAGTCTAGAGATGCTGTAGAGACGTCCCTTTGGATAAGTGCTGTCCGGTATCAATTTGATGGCACAATCATAAGGACGATGAGGGGGTAGTGAGAGTGCACGTTGTTTATTAAACACCTCACCAAGGTCATGATAGATAGCAGGAACTGGTGTAAGATTGGGAGGTTGATCGACGGTCTCTTGGCCGCACACAGACTGAGGACAGGCAGACATAAGACAATTGGCATGGCATGCTGCACTCCAATTAGTGATCCTATCTGTTACCCAGTCGATGGTGGGGTTGTTCTTTACCAGCCAGGTGTGGCCCAGGATCAGGGGGATGTGAGGCGAACTGATGAGCAAAAAACACAAGTCTTCAGAGTGGTTACCTGATAACAGTAGACAGATGGCTTGTGGGAGGAGCTTCAGTGCCGGGGCTTACACACCTGCGTCTCATCACAAATTAACGACTGGATAAAGAGGACTCACGAGGAGGGGTTTGTGACAGAGACGAGACCAGGCAGCAGATCTCTGGACTGGCACACCCACACCCCGCAGATTTAGGGGCCCTACTTCGGCTCCCGCAACCAGTTTATTACACTGACCAGCAGCCATGTCACTCTTTTTGCCTGCACAAGCTCATTTAACCTACAAGGACCAATTGGGACTGTGGGCAGTACGGACTTGGCCAACAGCATTGCAGGTGGCAGGATTCCCTCTCCTTCCCAGCTGGACACAAATTATCACAGACACTAAATAAGATAAGCAAAGGAAAGGGGCAGAGCAAGAGCAGGCAGCATGGCAGGAGCAGAGCAAAAGCAGGAAACATCGGTGGAGAGCACCGGGAGAGATGACCACAGATCAGTCCATGAAAGTTGTTAGAGCCCAGAAAAGATGAGTGGCTAAACCAGAGAAACCAACTGGACCCTGACGACCCTCCCAGTGGCCGGCTTTCTACCTGATGTCAAGCTCATTCTAATTTTGAAGTAGACTTTTAACTAATTTAACTGCAGTTATTTTATGGGTTTTAGATTTAAAATAAAAGCATTTTACCAGTTTACGTCCTGGTCCATGGACCAACCATGCTGCCCTCCCCCTGATAGAAAAGAACCTGTGGTTTTATGGAGACCATGCCATCACTTCAGCAAAACAGGTGAGCGAGCTGCATGCCCTCTTGGAGAGTAAAACATGTTTGACTTGGAACTCAAATGGTTTTGGTGTCATCTTGTGGACTGACACTGCATTGCGCACCAAAGGTGCTGGCACGCTCGCAGACCAACAACCTATGCAGCTGGCAAAGTAAGCCCCTCCATCAGGAGAGGGGAGGGCAAGACTAAAGTGCCCAATACGGGGTCTAAGGCCTTATGTGGAAATCACAGACCCCATAAGGCGGTTGGAACAACTCTTTGTCGGTGGGCCTAAGAAGGGCTGTACTCTTCCAAAGCAGCGTCTTTCCAACTGGAATGTGGAGGCCATTGCCTATGCATATAGGGCAAGTGCCGTTTTGCTGTCTAGTGTGAAGTGACGTGGCGACCCCTCAACCAGTAAGTGTGGTTCTCCAGCCAAGCTCCTCGGTGTGAGCTGTCGGAACCGCAAACCTCTTGTGTCGGCTCAGTGCAGGCGTATCTCTGTTATACACAACTAACTTACAGGCGTTCAGTCTCAGCTGTGTGTGTGTCTCTGGCAGTTTCATTAAGTGTATTCACGCTTTGGCAGCAGGACGGAGGTGATGACGAGCAGAGCATCTCAACGCCGATTAGCTTTGCAAGACAGCGTTGAGATAAAAGCGATTCATTCGCTTCTCTGTTTCGCGTCCCACGTGGCGCGTCTTCCGCAGAGTTCCGGGTTCTAAAATATTTGTCACACACTTGCGCCAGATGGGAGATATTCAATGTGAAACACTGCCTCTGGCGGTGATCCAGGATTCATAGAACCGTAGTTACATATGTCACTTTTGTCTTCTGTTAAATCAACTCATGTGTTAATGTGACAAACTAACACAACGTTATGCATCTTACTCAAATTTTGTAAAAAAAACTATTTGGTACTATTTTAACTTGCGCCATATATGTAACCTAAGCACAAATTACCGGTAAATTCTCTACCCTCCTATTAGAGAGATTTCAAACATGCTGAACTGAATACTTTTTCCTCTTCTGTTTTTCTTGAAAGAAAAATGATGCACAACACGGCCGTTGTCCAGTTGTAGACCTTTATTACAGTTAACACATCAAGAGGCTGGGAGTAAGGGCCATTACAAATTTGTACCTAGTCTAATACTTCATACAGGTAGAATAAATTATACTATGGTAATAAACCCACATGCCAGACAAAAAGTAAGCAGAGGATGTACAAAGAGGAAAGCAGGGTTGGGGTGAATGAGCACATCTGTACATTTTATCCATACTGTCCTCCTTGGTTTGCTGTGAATCAAAATATGTGTGTGTGTGTGTGTGTGTGTGTGTGTGTGTGTATATATATATATATATATATATATACACACACAAAAGAAAGAAAATGAAGTAGGGAAACTAAATAAATAGTGTAGATTTTGTTTGTTGTATGGAATGATTTAACCATTCTCTGAATGGTCTCTGTTTTTCGCCATCCCATTAACCTTGGGACCCATTTCCACGGATGACCACAAAACAAGCTCAATGTGGTGGATCTTTGCACTATTGTTGTTTTCCTTTTCTGAGCTCAGTAAATTGGAAGTGATTGTTCCGATTGGTCAGTATAGGTGATAGTGAGGAACATTGATTGTTTGACAAACCTTCTTACTTCATCCTCAAAGGAATTATTTATGCAAGTAGATGTTGTAATATGTTAGAAATTAATATAAAATGTCTTTATGACACGCGGCAAATTTATCTCAAAATACATTTTTAGTATATATTCCAGATTCCTCTGAAAGCAATTGTGATCGCGGCAGAAAAGAATTTTGAGGATTTCAGAGGCGGACCGTTGTCTTGTCTACGGTTCAAAAAACCAAAAGGCAGAATCAGGGCACCCACAACTCTGCCAACAGTGACATGGAATGAACAAGAATCCAATAAAGTGAAAAAATTTGAACAAAGTTGGAGGGAGAAATATCCGCCTGCCATTGAGTCAGGAACTTGTTTGACCTCCAACTACCTCTTCGGGATGTGTTGTTGTTCATATGAGGGAATGAACCTCTGGAATTAGTCCATATCTGTCTGCTACACAGGGGACCCTGAAGACATTTTGTTTCTTTTAAAGCTGCCATTTTGTGCGCTGATATTTAATCTCTGGCATTTTATTCTTCTTAAAGTGAAAACATTAAATTCAGACTTAATTCACATGGTTTCATATCAGTAACCAATATCTTTAAGTTATAGTCGGTTCCATGCAGCCTTAAAACTTCAGTCAAGCAGAAATTGATCCTTTTTATCCACAGAGCTTGGAGAAAAATCCCTTTTTGGTCTTGCGCAAAGTAAATCATAAAGTGACACGCAATTTGCCCAAGTGTTGGAATCGCAATTGTTGTTGTTGTCAGAGAAAAATGTTTTCTATAGATATCCATTGGAAATGAGACATCTGTTACTCAGTGGATACTTTTTGGGGGGGTAAATCAACAACCCATTTTGGACACTTTTTAGAATCATAATTGTCCAATGCACTAATATCTGTATTCAAAGTTAATTTCCTTCCTCTGTTTATCTGAATACGCCTGAGATCCCTGAAAGGCCCAGTTAACGAAAATGCTGGTCTGCCTGACGTTCAGGTCACATAATGTGGAGATTTTCACCTGAATTCTATACACAGAATTTCATGAGAATAAAAGGGATGCCTGCCTCCACAGATGTATCCAGTTCTCTTTATACATCCAGGCTGGGAGATGTTTGAGTCAGTGGTTAGTAGATAACAGTCCTAACACTTTGAACAGAGCAACCAACTGCAACAGTGTTGACAGACCGCTAATAACTTAATGCAGCAAAAAATTGCTCATGTAGCTCATGTACCTTCTGGTCTGTGAATGATCCATGAATGTTATTCAGTCCTGATGGGCAGGTGTCCCTTTGGATGTTAACTCCACTCATCAGTGTTTTAATGGGTTTGGATGGGTGGATGATGCCTTGTGGTGCTAAAGCACTTTAAGTGGTTAGACGTTGTCAGTTCTCGCTACTCATCTGTGATGCAGTTTTCAGTCAGAATTAGAACACACTTGAATTTGGCCTTGAATTACTGAAACCACACAGTTGTCTGACAACCCAACCAGTTAGTGTTTTATCAAGTGTGCAGACTGAATTTTGAAACAATTGTATTTCATTTTAATTTAAAAACACAATATTTGAAAACAGACGTGAATTAATTCTTGAAGCCATGAAATTGGAACCAAAAAACGCCAAATATAGTTTTACATACAACATTATTTTGTTGTTTGCTGACAGACAATATTTTAAATGCCAAGTAAAACACAGTCCAAAATACACAGTCCAAAATACTTTGCTGAGGATTCACGAAGCAACTGACCTCAAACTTTAGAGTTAACGGCAGTGTTAGTGTAAATATGGTTATGTGTATGTTTGTATATTGTTTGAGATCTTCATTGAAAATATATGTTGTACTGTTTATATTACTAGTTTATGGTTATCCAGCTAGTTAGGATTCACCAACGTTGTGTACAAAATGTAGTGCAATAAAAAATAACAAATAAAAAAAAAAAGCATTATAAATGAAATCCTTCTTGTGGATTTGGTTGGTCACATGGGGAATATTTAAAGCTTGGACAGCTGTATCATTCAATCATCAACCACTGGTGAAACACATAAATATAGTATAAAAAACGTATTATTGGCCCAATGCACTGTATAGTCAATCTATGATGAACACACACAGGGTCTCTGTGACATTTGTATGGCTGGTAGTAGGAGGTGCGGGCTGTGCTGGTGATTTTGCATGCATTTCTGGTGAGTACTAGTAGGCCTGGCCAGTTTCGACCTGCAGCAGTCCCAGTACAGCTGAGTGGTCGGCCAGCTTCATCCTTCGCTGACTAGACAGGCTCACGTTCTTCGCCAAGTAATCAACAGCAGCTGAAAAAGATCAGAGACAAAAGTTAATTTCTCCCTCATACAAATCATCATTTGACGGCTGTATTTGAAGTGCCAACAGTCTCCCCACATTTATCCAGGACGTTTTCCAAACCACTGTCTTTTAGGGACACAGTGGTGGCCCTCTTCAGACTGTGTGACGCGCACAACTTGAAAAGCACGACTAAAGGTCAATTTGAATTATTTCATTATTAAAAAATATTTGGAGTCTAAAATACACTATCTATCTCTCCCTATAAATTGTAATTATTGAAGGAAAGAAGTTAACGGGACTGTTGGTGTGAATATGTGTGTGTGTGTGTGTTTGTATATTGTTCCAAATCTTAATTGAAAATGTTGTTTGAAATGTTCATATGCTAATGTTTATAATAATGCTTCTTCCAGCTGAAAAAAATTTGACATGTAATCTACTTTTCATCTATTTTGTATGAAAAAATACACAGGTACACAATAATAATAATAATTTTACTGGAGTGAGTTTGCTTTCAGTACGTTATATGGGGATTTGAGTTCAAATAAACAGCAGTGTTCATGTCAACTATACAATAAGGATTTGTTTTAATATTTTTGCTAACAATTGGGCTCTTGGGCACAAAACGCAAAAAAAGCTAGCAGATTATCGTTGAATGTGCATTATGTTGCTCCAGCATTGTCTGATTTATGTCCAATCATGCGGACTGACAATAAAACACAACAAGGAACAGTTTGGCTCCAAATAATGGTAGAATCACAGAGTTTTTTTCAAAACTGGCATTAATGCTCAGCATATATTTCTGTCTAAGTGGTGGATGTTGCCCCTCCCTCCTTTAGCTGGCGATAACTTCTCTTTCAAAGGGCAGGAGGGAGAAGTGCTGACAGCAGGTGTGATGTGACATGTTGTGTTTGGGTGCACATGTGTGTATTTTGTGGCTATCAGAAGAAGATAAGCAAGGCATTTCAGTTAGGATGCTAGCGTGCATAGAAAGGAAGCTGTCACTCTGTGCGGAAGGATGAGAGAAAGAAGAGCACCTATGGGTGGGCAGGTCTGTCTGCCAAGATGCCAGTCATCAGTAGAAAGTGTGGGAGCCGCATGGGAGTGTGTGTGTGTGTGTGTGTGTGTGTGTGTGTGTGTGTGTGTGTGCGTGGTGTGTTTCACAAGGGTTTATCGAGGCCGTATAAAGGCAGCTTTTTTTCTGTCAACCAGCTTTATACCTTAAATCCTTGTTGAGCAGTCACACTCAAGAGTCCTTTGCCTCCAAGATTGAGCCTATGATAACACACATGATCGCATGCACAAACAGAGCTCGCACTTCAGCTATTTTGACAGTATATACTTTAATCTGTCAGGTGCTTCCTGCATTAGAACACTAGAGGAGTCAAATGTCTGAAGTTAAATGTTAAATCTGTCGCAGGAGGGAGAATTGGGTGTGAAGGGCCTTAGCCAAACCCCAAACGTCAGAGAGGATCAGCTTTAGAATCAGATATATTCTTAAAGAAGTGTTTTTTTCATATACACTCAGCGGCCTCTTTATTGGATACACCTGTGCAATTGCTTGTTAACACAAATTCAGGCAATGGCAGCAACTCGATGCATTTAGGCATGTAGATGTGGTCAAGACGACTTGCTGATAGTTCAAAGCGAGCATCAGAATGGGGTAGAAAGGGGATTTAAGTGACTTTAAGCATAGCATGGTTTTTGGTGCCAGACAGGCTGGTCTGAAAACGTCATCTACTGGGATTTTCAAACACAAACATCTTTAAGATTTAAAGAGAATGATTCTCTGTAACGGACCAATCAATTGAACGGCAGTTGTGTGGTGAAAATGCCTTCTAGATGTGAGAGGTCAGAGGAGAATGGGCAGACTGGTTCGAAATGATTCCTGGTATGATGAGTCTTGATTTCAGCTGCGACTTTCAGATGATCGGGTCAGAATGAGAGCATGGATCCATCCTGCCTTGTATCAACGGTTCTGGCTGCTGGTGGTGTAATGATGTGGGGGATATTGTCTTGGCATACTTTGGGCCCCTTAGTACCAGTTGAGCATGGTTTAAATGGCACAGCCTTTCTGCTGACCATTTTCTGATGGCTACTTCCGACAGGAAAATGCAGCCAAAGAGTTTCAATGTTATGAAGCTCATATCATCTCAAACTGGTTTCTTGAACATGATCATGAGTTCACTGTACTACAATGGCCTCCAGTCACCACATCTCAATATAATAGAGCACCTTTGGGACGTGCTGCAATGGGAAAGCACTTAATGAAACATTTAACAGCAGTCATACGCTATAGATACTACTATCTAACTATTTGATGAATGACCATCAAAATATAGGGTGTTACAGGTGTTAGATTATCATTTAAATCTTGTGCACAAATTGCACAATTTTTTTTGTACATATTCTACACACTGTACATTTAGTATAGGGCATCCTTACATGCAGTTACTGTACATGTTCATCCATTAATCAATTAATTTTGTTTACAATTTACAGGACCCCTGACTTGTATAGATGTTTTATTTCTCATTATATTGTGGTCATTGGTGTTTTTATATATATATATATATATATGAATTAGCTAATACTTATTCTGCAATTCAACTTGTATGAAACCAGAATACTGCCTTTTGCATTTTATATGCTTGGAAATTAAAATGAAGGGTAACATCACACTATTTGCCTACACTGGCCAACGTTCTCACTTCTAAATGAGATTGCTGCAGTAACCAAAGCTTAAATGGGGAAAGGCAGCTTCATCAGGGGATCACGTCTATTTCCTGAAGATAACTTGTAACCATCTGTTTTTGTAAAGGGAACATTTGCATAATCTCTGAAATTATTCTGGTGTGTAGAGGACGGGGAACAGCTTTGGTCTCAGAAATGCAGGTCATATGACACACACTGTCCCGAAAAGACTCAGACACTATTCTAATATGAATAACGGAAGAGAATACTTTTTGGCACAAACCTTTCAGTCCAATAAAAAAAACAAATTTTTTAATTTTAATTTTTAACCACAATATTTGCAGGGAGTCAGCTAGTCATAAACCAGAAGAAGACCCTAACGTGCGTGCCCTCGAGAGGATTGCCTAGAAAATTGACATCAAACACTGCAATAAATGCTGCTTAGAGCGCAGAGCACACCAGTCAGGACCTGCACTTTGAAATAGATATTTTTATTTTATTTATATTTATTTTGCAACAGCGCATATCGGATGCACTTAATAATAATATAACTTGGAATAAACAGAAACCCACTGTGTGGAAATGAATTCAGTTCATAAATTCCTGGAACATTAAATGGGATGATAGTGCTTTATCAGTTAGAAATGTTGCTGTTATCTGAACTTGCGGAACTCACTCTGGCCATACTGACTGTACTGGTAGCCGGCAGCAGCCACACCTGGATCCAAGCCGTAGCTAGTGGTGCTGTATGTGGGGGGGCAGTAGGACTGGGAGGATGAAAGGCTGTCCACGGTCTTAATGGAGGCCTCAGCTGAACGCTGGCTGCAGCTGGCTGAGATGGCGTTGGATGGAGAGGATTCCAAGGCACTGTGGAGTGGTGAGATGGAAAAGTCGTGTTGTGACTGTGAGGACACACCGCTGGGGTTGCTCAGGATGCTCATCACCTGCAAAGAAAGAGTAGAAGATTGCTGTCAGAAAAGCTTTTTCTGTCTGACACCGGTACCATGGAAGATATTGCTTTGAAAACTAATGGTCAGTTCACCATAAAATCTGTAATGCACAATTTGGAATATTTGGAATGTCGCTGTGTCCTTGTGCAGAAACTTAACCTCCCACAGCTTTGACTAGTGTGTGTGAATGTCAGTTAATGATGGCCAGGTGGCACTGTGTATGGTAGCTTCTGTCATCAGAGAATGGGTGAATGATGACATGTAATGTTAAAGAGCTTGGAGTGTTTGGATGACTAAAAAAGAATAGTCCATTTCACATTTCACATAAATTCAATCAGAGAACTACAGCACTCGTTTTCATAGTTTCTTCAACAAATTATTACAGTCGCAATGTTTTGTAAATGGGGAGCTGAAAATGGGTGTAAATTTTTAGGACATTTATAAAAAAATATATATAAAAATATGTCGGTTTTTTTGCGTAGTGGGAAAAAATATGTTAGTGGTAATTCCCGGACACCAGCTTTTACTGCTTCTTTAGAGAGGTTACAGCTGATAATGCCCTCCCTACAGACTAAATCTTGTATGAATACATTAAAGCATAAAGACGTTCCCAAACCTTTTCTGTTGAGCCCCCTTTTTGATGGTATAGGAACATTGAAGTACCCACATTTACAGCAAATCTTTTTTTTTGTTTGTTAATGAAAAAAAAATTGTTTGTTTTTTAACCACATAAGGCAAAGATATTTTAAAGTATTTTTAATACTTTAAAATATCTTTGCCTTGTAGAAGCACGGTATATAATAATATAAAGGTAAAATAGGTCAAACAGGCCTTTTCCGTTCACTGCAGCTTATTTTGCTTTTTAAACAGTTACCCTACTCACTTCCCTGTCTGAATCCCTCTAATCGACTGCTTTTTTCATGTAATTGTTCAATTAATGCAGACCCTTGGGCCAATCAGAACCTAGTTTTCACTGTGGCCATGGTAGTGTTTGTAAAAACTGATCACATAATTAAAGCAGTAGATGTGAGTTGGTTGTAGTGCTTTGCAGCTAGTCAACGCCCACATTTCATCCAAACCAGAGGAACTAAAGGGGCTTAACACTTTTCTACCCACTCATCCAGTCAGACAGCACCCTGGGCTCTGTTTAGTTTTCACTGAGGGAGGAGGAGAAGAGAGAGAACACTCTGAGTGATAAATGAAGAAAAAATATATCCTACAAACATTCCATCAGTGGGTATGATTTAAATTCCTCAGCTTTTCTGGCAGCTTTCTTGAGTAGGTCTTGTCTTTTTTTTATTTATTTGCTTTTAAAGCTCCTTGCTTTACGTCTTGCCAAACTGAAGCAGCATCTGTTTTTCAGGCGATTTCTAATTAACATCTACCCCCTGCCCCCACTCTATTCCTCATTATGGGAATGATGTAAATATATTTGCTCATCCTTTTTGATTTGTTGACATGGGAGCGCGCCAGTTGACAGCGTGCCCAGTCAAAGGGCTTAGTACTGCAAATTTTAATAGCAGCTAATATTAGGCACCACACTCATTGACATTCAGGTGCAAAAAGCCGTGTCAACACACTGAACTGGGGGGCTGCAGGAGGAAGGGGTTCATATATTTGGATCCCCTCTCTGCTCAGGCTTATTGAGTTTAATTCAACACCTTTCCCTAATTTGAACATAGGTTGTTAATGGCAGTGTATGTGATAGTGGTGCAGTGTACAGGGGGCACACAGAGGGTGTGTGTGTGTATGCGTGTGTGTGTGTGGGGGGGGGGGTTAAAGAGCCCCCCACCTTCTTATCTCAGGCCGACAGTTGTCAGGAATCACGAGTAGAGGCCTGAGTTAGCGAGGCAGGCAGGCCTGGGGATATGGATCAAAGAGACAGAGCTGGAGAACCAAAGCAGCTCTGATCCCCCAACACTGAAACCCACTCTGTTCTATCCTTACTCGCCCGCCCGCTTTCTCTCTCCCTCTCCCTTCTCAATCTCTTTCTCTTACCCTGACATCAAATAGCAAGCCAGAGAACTCCACCATTCTAAAGCGGGCTAAATCTTCCTCTCACAACAAACCGGAGAAGAAATTAGAACGCAAGAGGAGAAATGTATTCCTTTACGCGTGTGATGTGGTGATGTGTTGGGGTCACTGGGGGAGGTATAGTTTCATCTTCAGTGGCAAGTCACTAAGTTGTTTGACCTGACAAAAACAGATTAGTGGTTCAGCATACTGACTGTCTCACTGAAGAGAAAAAACTCACCAGTTTGAGGGCTCTGACAAAAAATTGACTTATGGGAATTTATCAAAAAGTATGGCTGGAAAAAAAGCTTTATTTTTGCAGGCTTTCTTGGGAGAGACGGGGGGTTGTAACAACTCTGATGGTGAAGCTGCAAAAGGGGTTTCTATTTACACGGCCATCACAGAGATGGAATTTCATACTTTCATTTTGTCTTTCTGTCAATAGAACTTGGAATTGGAAATGAAATGAAAGTCTGCCTTTAATTCTTTGCCATTCAATTTGAGAGGAGGAGGCAGAAATGGCTTGTGTGAATTACATTCCAAATGCAATATAGCTGTTTCAAATTGAATTATTCCCTGTCAGATGTACGGCACATGGTCTTCCTGTAATTTTGAAGTGTGATCTTTGGAAATTCATCCTACATTGTTATCTCATGTAAATGCCTGGGAGCATGATGAAAGGGTCAATGGCAGTAAAACATAATGGAAAAGCCTCAGCTCAGACTCAGAGGCATTCAGAATAGGCTGAGTGCATAACAAAGAATGCAGCAGTATTCACTGAAGATGCATTTCATGTTGGGAGTGGATATCATTTCAATCAATTTACTGGAGCTGTTTTTATTTTAATTTGATTACTTCCAAAGCCTATTCAGAAGTTTGGTGCTCATTCCTAACCCATGAATATGCCTAACATCTGTAAAGGACGATATTCCTATTTTACATTTAGATTTCATTGTTTTAAATAAACCAACAGCAGTAAATAAAGAAATGAAAAAATATAAATAGTTAAGATTTAATATATTCATATAAGGTAGTACACAGCATCAGTTCAATGTAGAGCAGCAACATTTGAGGTTATAAATATTATATTTTGTGTGTGTATTTGTATACCCAGTGTGCCGGAAGTAAACAAAGTTCACTCGAAACGAAACCGCTAGCTGCAGTCAATTAGATCGGGGAGGCCAAGATATTAAAACAAACAGAGGCCCGACACACATCAAAGAACTGTGCAGAGGAATTCCTCCACGTGTGGTGGGTGAGTGGCAAACGGACTACTTCACGCACCGCTAGGCTGCTTCCATCTCAATAGCTACCCTGTTAAAGAACAGAGTTTAAAATGCATGCTTTCTGAAGTTATTACTCATTCCTTGTAAGATTTTGTTTTTAGAATAAAAACAAACGTTTAAATCGCGATTAATGAATTCCAAAATGTGCGATTAATTAGTTAATTTATTTAATCTATTGAAAGCCCTAATATATAAATATACTATTTAAATATATGTATATATCTGTTATATTCAGAGAGTTACTGTGGAGCAAGCATGTCAAAGAATGAAGAGGCTGTAAACAATTGTGAAACTCTTTGGAAGGTAATTCAGAGATTGGAAAACACCCTCTTAGGTTCTCATTCATCCATCCCCATACAACCGTACAGTAATGTCACGGAGTCCTACCAGGTTCGGTGCTTTGACCAATTTTATTTACCTGTATATGCTTCCTGTAGGTGATGTTATCAAAAAACACTGCATAAACCATTGTTTGCAGTCAATACTCAATTGTATCTGTCAATGAAGCCAGACGAGAAAAGCCAGCTTGTTGATTGTCTTCAAGATTGTCTTGGGGACATCAAAACCTTGATGACCATCAACTTTCTGATGTTATTTTGATAGGCCCAGAGTACCTTTGAAGTCTGGTGATATAGTTTCTCTGGAAGGAATTGCTCTAGTATCCAGTATCAGTAGTAGTAGTAGTAGTTATCTTCCACCACAATGTGTCCTTTAACTCTCAGATAAAGCAGACTTCAAGGCAGTGGTGGCTGGTCCATAGAGAGCAATGGGGCGTGGCCCTACCATGGGCGACGAAAAAAAAAAAGAAACTTCACTAGACATAAAAGAACATACATTTTTGTTGTTTATTATATTAAAAATACATTTTTGTGAGTCCTGGTCGAAGAGGTAACGACCAGGACTCACCTCTGCCCCTAACAGGATGAAGGAGCCGTTGACACAATGGGGTAGACTGGAGTCACTAACCCAGCGCAGGAGAATTATTTCAGTTGGAAGTTGACCTAAGGAGCCATTATTTAGACCTCGTTATTAAATGGACCCTTTTTGTTTTACAATTACTGCCTCTGAGCCTCTTGTTTTATAACTGAATCAGGCCTTCCCCGGGTTGCTACATTTACTGGAAAATGCGGGCACGGCGGTCTGTCCCTAAAAATTCAGGATAAAATAGGTACACAGAGAGAGACACAGAGCGCAATGGAGAATGCACTAGCACAGCTCATCCAAACCGAAACCTAGCAGGCCCAGAGCCTTCGAGCGTTATAGGACGCAATAATTACTCTGGGCCAGCATCTGGTAAAGCCAGAGAGGCCTACAGAACCCAGTGAAGTGCTCACCAAGCAGACTGGTGAGGATGACCAATGAGGCCTATGTAGACGTTTTCAAGAGGACTGCAGAGAGGGAATGTTGGCCTAAAGCGGAGTGGGCAGGTATACTAGCCTAACTTTTTAATTGGCGAAGCTGCAGTTTTAGCTCATTATGGTCACAACCTGCAGACAAGGCCCAAACAGTTCCACTCCTGGACTTATGACGCCACACACACACAATTCACGCACAGTTGGTTAACCTCAGAGGAGGGACCTCCAGCCCCGGACATGGACCGGTGTATCAGAGTACAACCACGAGATGCCAAACGACACACCTCTCAAAGCTTCCCAGAGGCCGTGGATGATCTGGTGACGCTGTTGGAGAATCACCAGGTCACAGTAGAGTCAATGCAGAGCAGCAGGCAAGAACCTTTACGACCCAGCCAATCTGACCCCAGGAGAGACAGGCTGAGGAAGGGTAATATGGGGACACTGCCCCAAAGTCAGAGGCCCGTGGGGGGCGGGCAGCCCAGACCGAACCGGCGGAAATGCTTTGCCTGTGGCTGTGAGGGCCATCTAGCGTGGAATTGTCCGGGGGAGGACGTACTGATGCCTACGGCCGGCTGGGACCCAGTGCAGAAGCCCTACACTCCGGCAGTGCTGTCACCTTCCTACGGCCAGGACTGGCCCCAGGGGATCCCCTATCCCAGTCTCCTGTGTCATGGTGATAGGTAAACTCTTTAGATCTCCTGTCCCTTGTGGGCATAGGTAAACTCTTGGGCTGAAAGTGAGTCCCACTCCCTTCCCTCAAAAAGGTATGACTTATTTATATTTCACAAAACTACAGAATATGATGGAATATGTTTTGCATTTTGCAAATTAAATAACTGGTTACAGTAATGTCAAAAGCTGCCAATGATTTTACATTCAGTAAAGCTGCTAAAACAACCAGATATCCTTGCCGTTGGTCCTGCAGCAGGAAATATTGTCGCAGTCAGCTTCAGGAGGAAGAGCAAATCGGCAAGAGTATCCCACGACTCATATTAAGGTCCAGACCACTTGGGGCACTTTTGAGGTTGTGGAGGGTTTGGTGGAAAATCTGCCGGTGCCAGTTCTGATTGACTGGACTGCCCAATATTTTGGCATTTGTGGGCTTACAGGACTGCTGGCTACCGGAGAAACCGTCCAACCAAGAAACCTTGTAGGGACCAGAAAGTCATGGTGTACATGCTTGTGCAGCTCCGTCTACCCCAACCACATCATCTGGAGAAGAGACAGAGGAGGAGGCCCTGGCCCCAAGGAAGGCCCCAGCGCAGGCCCGGTGAGGGGGGATCCACAACCAAACGAGGTGTCGTCGAACGAGGTCTTTTCGGAGTTCCCACTGGAGGAAGAGGAAACTTCAACCAGGCCAGGACTGCCCAGTTGGAGGACCCTAACCTGGAACAAGCCCGACAGAACCTGGCTGTGGTCGGGGGAACCGGTGGAAGGGGATGTTGACACTTTTCCACATTTTGTGGGTGGCTAAGCTGGCAGAACTTGTTGTGGAACAGTTGCTAGTCCCCAAACGCTATATTCCAAAAGTGTTGTACCTAGCCCACTCAGGCATGTTGGGAGCTCATCTAGGGGTAGAGAAGACCTACAACCAAATCCTGGAGCGCTTCTACTGTCGGGGGCTGAAGAAGGTGGTTCAGGATTATTGTGAAATCTTCCCGGAGTACCAGAAGAAGGTAATCTACCAGAATCCCTTAATACCGCTATCAGTAATTAACATCCCCTTCCAGTCCCGTTACGCACTGCGTGCTTAGGCAGTGGCAAGGGAATTATTCCTTCTCTTTAGTAGAGTTGGTATTGCAAAGGAAGTCCTAACTGACCAGGAAACCTGTTTCAAGTGTCGGGTGATGAAGGAGATGTACAAGCTGCTGAAGGTGATCCAAATAAGAACCTCGGTCTACCACCCACAGACGGCCGGCCGAGTAGAGTAGAGCGCGTTCACATGTTACACAGCACCTGGATCTGTGTCACCTCCTGAGAATTCAAATGGACGAAGGTTGATCAGCTGTTTTGGCTAACCCGCATGTCGATCTGTCATTGGGCAAGACCCAACATTGCTCCTGTAGCTGTGACTACAGTGTGTGAATGTTAGTTACTGATGGGCAGGTGGCACTGTGTATGGTAGCTCCTGTCATCACGGTATGAATGGGTGTGAATGGGTCATGTAGTGTTAAAGCGCTTTGAGTGGTCAGGACTAGAAAAGCGCAGTACAGTCCGTTTACCATTTAACTTTGCCGGAGAAACTATATAGGTAAAACAGCTGGACTCAGCGCACCGCGCGAATGACGTGGCTGTGTTAAAGTTAACATCACTACCCCGCTGGGCACAGGACACAACCAGGACGTGGATGAAAACATGCACATTTTATCAAAATAATTCATTGTCTTTCCTCAACACACTCATTGGGTGTTTCACCAACAAATTAGGTTCATAAGTGCATCTTTATATATGTGCACCTTTTTTGCATTGAATCATACTCTGATGTTTACTCAAACTGATCCACCAGCCACCACTGCTTCAAGGACTTCCGTTTTTTTATAAGATAGTAACATATCGAAAATCGGGCACAAAAATGATTCATGCGCTTGTGTCTTCTAGACTAGATTACTGTAAGTCTCTTAAGCCTCTCCAATTGATTCTGAATGCTGCAGCATGTGTTTTAAAAAGGAATCATATTACTCCTATATTCACTTCTCTGTACTGGTTTCCTGTTAAAACAGGAATAGAATTTAAGGTACTTCTCACCTACAAGGCACTAGAGAGACTCTCTCCCCTTCTATAATAATTCACTCTCATTGATGCACATCACTAGTTCAGCTTCTTTCCCAGAGTTTTTGTTCTTTCTTTCCTTGGAGGTTTCCATAGATCATGTTATATCTGGTCCTGCTGGCAACTGCTGCTGCCACCACTATCACTATTCACATTAATCACAGAACTATTACAGTCATCATAAACCAACATTACAGATTTTGCTTTTTTCCTGAAGCCTTTGTGCTTTCCCTCCTCACAGGTTTCTGGGGATAGTGGTTATAACTGATGGTAGTTGTCCCTTCAGGGGTCCTATCTTACACATGGCCTCGATATTTAAATCATTCTGTAGAATGAATTGAACATATTGTACATCTTTTACATTATTCATTCTGTACACATGACGCCCACTACATCCTCTCCATCCCGGAAAGGGATCCCTCCTGTGCCGATTTGAGGGTGTCGCGACAGAGGATGGCGCATGTGTACAGACTGTAAAGCCCTATGAGGCAAATTAGCAATTTGTAATTTTGGGCTATACAAAATGAAATCAATTGAATCGATTGAATGTCAGCAATCTATCATGAAAGGTGCAGGCCGGACCATCAGGAGAAATTTGGATCTGCTCTTCCTCCTGAAGCTGACTGGGACAATATTTCCTGCTGCAGGGCTTAGCACCAACGGCAAGAATATCTTGTCACACTTGTTGTGGGACATCTGGTTGTTTTAGCAGCTTTACTGAATGTACAATCATTGGCAGCTTTTGACATTACTGTAACCAGTTATTTAATTTGCAAACTGCAAAACATACGTCATCATATCCTGTAGTTTTGTGAAATATAGATAAGTCATACCTTTTTGAGGGAAGGGAGTGGGACTCACTTTCAGCCCAAGAGTTTACCTATGCCCACAAGGGACAGGAGATCTAAAGCAATTTTAATGTCTGAAAAACAAAAGCTTAATAATTTCCTAAACATGTCTGCTGTCTATAACCTCACTGTCCTGTTCTATATGTTGTCAAGCTTAAATCCTAAAAGTGAAAATGTGTATGTTGTATATCCAAACTATTACTCATAATAGCTTGGATATGGTTCCTAAACTACTACCAATCCTCCTTCGTACCTTTCCACCACTGCAAGAATGTACTGGATAAAATCAGTAAACTGAACTATTGAATACAAATGGTAATGGACTGCCGTACATGACAGAAAACAAAAAATATATTCAGCCACCCAGGTATATTTTATGTGAAAATTTAAAGAAAATTTGGGGGATCTTGTTCACCACCGATCTAAATGGTGGCTCATTCTTTGTTACAAACCAAATGCCAAACACAAACAAATGAACTACACAATATGGTACTTGCATATCAGAGTAGCCTGCAGCAACAGCAACATCTGTGAATTTCCCACTGTAGAGTGGAAAAGCTTTTCTCACCAAATGAACATTTGGCTAGGATCCTTTAAAAGCCATGGAGTCAAACAATACCAATTAATGGCACACCGCAGTTGATAGCACAGACTTGGGAATTGGAGTTAAAACTAAATGGTCATGTACTTTGTTGCTGTAATCCTTTTAAATATATCCACTGTGGGACTAAAATATGTCTTATCTTATTAATTACCTCGGAGAGGAGTGACAAGTTAAAGTAAAGTGTGTAAAATTGACTGACAGCTAATAATGAGGTGGCCAATTGCAACTAACTGAATATCCCTATGCTCACCACTCCCTTTCTAAGCCTTTTCATTATAACTACGGTGGCCATCAGGTTATGTAAAAATGTGAAAGACTTTCAAAGTCAATGTTGGATCTGTCCGTTCTGAACTACAACATAAACATGGAGTTGCTCGCAATGTTGATATGAAGGACTCATTCTTGTGGCCTGTGTTTTGAACAAAGTCTCCGTGATGTCTTACCACAGCCATAGCTGCCAGTAGCTCAAGAGAGGATACCAATTGGTCAGCGTGTGCGTGGGCTCACCAGACCCAAATGCCTTGTATCTTGATAAGAAGGTTTTTGGATTCAGATGCGTTCCTTCCATTCTCACATCTCAGGATCTTGTGACAAGGTTATAACCAGCCTTTTGGTTGAGCATTAACTACATTAACTATTAACCATTAATCATTCATATTTTTTTAATTGCTAAAAATGTGTGCTTTATGTGGAGGCTAGCGACCTTTCATCACACAATGTGTAAAGCTAACTCGTCGCAGACAAGTTACTGAACACACAAATATGAAACTAGTATTGATTATCTATCCAACTACCTGCAAAACATCAAACAAGCTCATCCACCACAGTGTTAGTGCAACAATTACACCTCATGGTGAGGTTGACGTTTAGATACAATAGTTCTGCAGGTATTACCTGTGGGGAGAGTCCGTTACTGACAGGGTTGACGTGGTTGCCAGGTGCTGCAGAGCTCATAAAGGAGTCAGAGTAGCTGGAGAAACTGTGGCGATTCGAGGCAAGACCATAGGCGCCGCTGCTGTCAGTGCTTGACAGACTGCCCTGGTGCATGGTGGATGGAGGCAACGGCTGGGGACGGTGAACTGTACCACCGCTGTCTAAAGGGAAAAACACAGAACAGCACATAGCTAAACATGTAAAGATATACAAGTCAAAACCTTCATTCCCAAATCTCTGCATGGTATAATAACACAGATCTATTCTCAACATGCTCAAGCTTATTAATCAGAATGGAGCTAAGCAAGCAGTTTTCCCCTGCGATAATTCTGTGTGCCAAGTGCAACCTGGATATAACTATGAACAGCAGCAGACGACAGCATCGTTTTGAGTTCAATTCCTAAAGCTTATCAACTTTGCAACATGTTAAATAACTGCTGTTGTTATTGCTATTCATGTATCGGATTGCACTTGGGGCTAGAAACAATTGATTTGTTACCCTTAATTCTTTCCATGGTCCATAACCAAATGAACACAGATAAAGGTAAGAATAGGCCCTTAGTTAAAGAGAAATCAGAGATTTATTTGGACCATGTATATGTATATGTAAGAGGAAGACCAAAAACGAGCTGGTCTTCACAAACTTCTGAGGAAGCTGTTTGAATTGCATTTTGCTCACTTGTCCTTCAACTTAAGATGGAAACAACATTTTCAACCCAAACACATGCTGTCTGACAATCAACGTTTTTATATATAGTATGGGGTTTCTAACTTCATAGAAAGAAAGGGAATGGAAAAACTGCTGAGTTCATATTTAGTATAGATAGGTGACAAACAAAAATATACACATGAAAGAATGTAGAATCCTACTAAAGGAGAGGGGTTCATACATATGATCAGAGCTCACTTATTATTTCTAATGCATTCATTTTTATTTTGTGTATCTGTTGATTTTCTGTTGCGTGTAGGTGGTCAGCCCGTCACTAACACACTAAATAACTGTGATTTATGTGTTCCTACCTTGGGACAAAGTGTTGGATGGGTAGCTGGACTCTGGCAGCTGGTATGTAGGAAGTGTTGGCATCCCTGTGGGAGGGAATCCACCTGGCAACAGGTGGTTGAATGCCGCTAACTGATTGGCTCCTGCTTGTTTTCGCCACCTGGCCCTTCGATTGCTGAACCAAACCTGGAAAGCAAAGCAAAAGATAAATAAACTTGTTTCAATAGCCATTCCTTTTTATCTCAGGCTCAAAGTGGGCTTTGCTGTTTTATTTAAATGAATTAGAATTCAACTGGCACCTGAGGTTGTGTCAAAAGCTAGAGTTACATTCACAATAAAAGGTTTCCGTTTAAAACTGGGCTTTTAAAATAAAAAAAATTCTCAGTCCACACAGGCATTTCAGCTTTTTTTTTCCATCCCCACTAGCAAGCCTGAATACATTTTCACATACACTCGGCATGCAGGGAGTGTGTGAACAGGAAGTCGATTTTTTCTTAGTTACTCCAAATAAAACCACGTTTTGTATAAATGACAAAGGGGTGTGTATTGCCAAAGGCTAAACTGTCTTCTTTTTAAACTAAGCAGGCCCTAATTTCCAAGTTATTCATTTAAGCCAACAGAAAGCGAAGCTCAGGGCAGGTATAAACATGTTGCTAAGGAGAAAAAAGCGATCTAGATATGTATTTTTCTCACACGCTGTCCTACATTGTGACACACATTTTTATCATTTGCAACAAGTGAAACAAACCATACATTCTCACTTACACCCACAGACATACTCGAACACACACACGCACACACGCATCAAGAGCAGTGGAAGGAATTTATGTATTGCCTCAAGCTTTCCAGCCGTCCTTTTTCTCTAGGAATCCTCGTTTTCATTTGGAGCAAATGGAAACATGCCTTTCAAGTGGAGAAGATCTTTTGGATTCCTATTACTGTAGAGGAGACTCAAATAATTACAACAGGTGTTGTCCCCCTGAGGTATTACTGAAAGAGAAGCAAAATAAGTAGAGTCTGACACATCCCCTCAACAGTCCAAAGCCATCACTGTGGACAGAAACAGACTCTCCCCACTTCCTTTATAACGTTGGTTCTTTAGTGGTGCAGAAACAGTGGTTGGACTGTAATAATAAAACTGAAATAATTTTGGTAATAATTGATTAACTATTGAATACACAAAACATGGTTGTTATGATTTGCCCCTTTTCCTCTGTTTATTATAATTGGAACCAAATAATTATTTGTTATTGACTGAAATGGTGATGGGCATTTTTCATGATTTCATACAGGAATATAGATTAAAATACAATATCTTACACATTTGAGAATAATTAGTAGTTGACTTGTGTTGGCACGGCGTAGGGCATTATTTTGATTAGAAGCCAATGTGAAATTAAATCTTTGACATCAATAGAATTATTCATAATCACTAAGATAATTCACAAAATAAATAAATAACGGGGCACCACCCTAAAAGGGATTACTAACCAAATTATGAAATCAAGTCTCATAATTGATATTGATATTCACTCAAGAGCACCGTATTGAAAGTTTTCAGTTCGTACACAATGTTTCTAGCTAGCATCACAGTACACATGCACAAATAAATCTCAGAAAACTGCTCCATAAAGTATGACATGGTTATGCATGTGGACGGGGAGGTGTGTGTGTGTGGGTGAGTGTACAACACATGCTAATCTAACTTCGGCCCAGACATACCCATACCGTGCGTTGATAGGGTTTGCTATGTTTGCTCGTGTCTTGTTTAACTCGGTGTTCACTCAGTCTTTTCAATTGGAACTGTTGAGTTTGTTGGTGGCGCAAAAGCTATTTGTGCTCTTTACCACTCAAGCTGTATCCAAAGGGGGTAGAGTAAGAGTGAGAGGTCTCTAGAGCATGGGTTTCACCGACGAGGTTTAGTCTGGGGAACGTTGGATTGGAGAGGCCTAAAACCGGAGAGCCTAAATCCTTAATCCTGTCAGTTGATTCGGAAAAGTTTGTTTGAAAAAGATACTTTCTTTAATTTTGCACTGAGCAGAGTCAGTTTTAAAGTTAATTTGAAGAGATACTGACTTTAACCTTGCATTGGCGCAAGTCAATTCAGAAAGGATTGATTTGAAGATATTCTGCAGTCTTAACCTTGCACTAACAAGGGTTTGTGTCGTCCCATGGTGCGGGCCTAACACTTTAAAAGTAATTTACACTAAGCACTCTCTTAACCATAGCTGCAATATCTAACAACATCTAAAATACATACTTTGACAGCTTAGTCTATCAAAAAGAAAAAAATATATATCGCTAACAGAACATGTGTTTGGTCCAAGAAATCTTCGGTTCAGATGAAGACCTTGAAAAAAAACATACTATGGTAGATTACAGGGAGAGGTGAGGGGGTTGGTATTGTATGGACTTCTTGCCTAACAAGGAAAGGTTGGGAGCAGTTCAGTAATTAAGGGGGGCATTAGAAGGGGAACAAACAACCCAACGAAGAGAGGAAGAAGGGGGGAGAGAGACAAGACAAGACAAGACAACCCGACCCGACCCGACCCGGTAAAAGAAGACGACGAGAACGGCTTGGACATGGTTGAGCTTATCTTCCTACACCATCAATTTATTCTAAATAAGCTGTGTTCCACTGTACCCAGTGTTAAGGTTTTAACAATCCTCGGGTTGCATGCAGCACACAGATTAGTGTATAACATTAATTAATAACAAAGTTAAGTGTTGTACACCTGCAGGTGTTTGTTTTATCCTGATTTTTTTGCAATCATTGCTGTGCATGTAAATGTTTTAAAAGATCCTCAAATAAAAAAGGTTAGGAACCCTGATTCCATTGGGATCTTGTGTACATGTACACCTTTTTCACATTTCATAAAATCGGTCAATGAACCATTTATTCATTGGAAGAACAATTTTTAGCTGCTTTGACTACGATGTGTGAATGTTAGTTACTGATGGGCAAGTTGACAAGGCTGTGTTGTGGCACCTGTCATCAGTGTAGGACTGGTTGTCAATGGGTGAATGAAAACCTGTATTGTTAAAGAGCTTTGATTGGTTCAAAGACTAAAAGAGAAATAAGAGGGAGTACAGTCAATTTACTATTTCATCAGCGAATCAATCTATCAGCCACATCCCTGCCACCACTTCCAGATCTGGTCTCAACAGAGGGGTTCTTTTTCTGCTGAGCAGGGCAGACCACAGTCGATCATAAATCTCACCTGTAGAGTGTAAAAGACTGCCAAAAAGACTGCCAAAAAGACTGCCAAAAAGACTTTAATCACATATTGGCTGTTAATAAAAAACATTTTTTTCTTTATCTGACTTGTCTCTCCTAATTGCCTCTGCCTTCTACTAACGCTTTGAAAGACTTAAGACCTATCCACGCCTCTCTATTCTGGAGATGGACGTCATGTGTTTTAACATACTTATCTTATCTATCTTATCTTATCTATTTGTATTGTTTTAATTTTTGCTTTTATATTTTCATCTTATTTTACTTTTATCCTTTTTATTATATCTCACCAAGACAAATTCCTCTATGTGTACAATAAGGGGCAATAAATTGCTTCTCATTCTGATTCTGAAAGACTACGTAGTAGTTGGATTCAAGAGTTCCTCAAAATGCTCCTTCAACCACCTCCTTAGTTTAGTTATTGTAATAAGACAAGTGTATGTCAAGGAAAGGTTCCAGTGTATCCATCCCATAGTGGTGTATCGCTCAGTTTTCCTAAGTTTTGATAGATCCATGTTGCTGTTGTAGATTAAAGCTCCCGTGAGACAGCTCCGACCCCTCAGTGAGCTGCTGTGTATTTTTCATGAGTGGTGGTCTTGAAAGTGGTGGGAAACACAGATTCCAGCCAAGATGTCAGGGAGTGAGACATGAATGAGGAATGCAGCCCCCACCGTTGAAAACAGCTGCTGTTAGAGCTCCACAGTATTTTCTCCACAGCTACTGGGACACTGGGAAGCTGTCAAAACCAAGACCAAAGCCAGGTTCTCTAGCTGAGAAGGGAACAGCTGATGAAGTCTCTGGCATTCTACTGTGTGTATGTGTGAACTGTGTTGAACTACATTACATTTACCATTTAGCTGACGCTCTTATCCAAAGTGACTTAAAAAAAAGTGCATTCAATCAAGAGGGTACAGAACCAGAAAAGTACACATTTTTTGAGAAAGCCAAACTAAAAATGTGATAGAGGTAACTGCCATTTAAAGTGCTAACTAGTACAGGTATAGACGGTAGAGGTGTGCTTTCAGTCTAAGTTTTCCTTATGTTGTTGTGGGGTTCAATCCACCATTTAGGAGCTCTCTGGTCAGGTGGTGCAGCCAAAACAACCTAGAGCTTAACACTCTGAAGACTTTACAAGATTTTAGGAAGAACGCAGTTGCACCTGTTCTTCCCCCGTCACCGCTGTGGATTCCTTCCGTTTTCTGGGCTTCATCATCACACAGGACTTCTTGGGTCACCAAGAAGCTAAGCAGAGGCTTAAGAAATTCAACCTGCCTAGGACGATAATGGTGCACTTCTACACGGACATCATTGAGTCCATCCTCTGCGCCTCCATCTCCTCCGTCTGGTACGCTGCAGCCACAGCCAAGGACAAGGGCAGGCTACAGCGTGTCATCCGCTCTGCAGAGAGGGGGATTGGCTGCAATCTGCCTCGATCCAGGACTTGTTCGCTTCCAGTACCCTTCAGAGCCAACAGATCTGTAGACGATGCTGTCAACATGGCCCTACACTACATCCTCCAGCATCTGGTCTCCCCAGGAAACTACGCCAGGATCCTATTTGTGGACTTCAGCTCTGCTTTCAACACGATCATCCCTACTGCTGCAGGACAAACTCTCCCTGCTGCACGTGCCCGACTCCACCTGCAAGTGGATCACTGGACTTCCTGTCCGATAGGAAGCAGCACGTGAAGCTGGGGAAACATGTCTCAGCCTCCCGGACCATCAGCACCGGTTCCCCCCAAGGCTCCATCATCACCCAAGACCTCAAGTGGGAGCTGAACATCAGCGTGTCATCCGCTCTGCAGAAAGGGTGATCGGCTGCAATCTGCCGTCTCTGCAGGACTTGTTCACTTCTAGGACCCTGAAGCGAGCTAAAAATATTGTAGCCAATCCCTCTCACCCCGGACAAAACCTGTTTGTGCCCCTTCCATCTGGCAGGAGGCTGAGGTCCATCAGGACTAAGACCTCCCGCCACACGAACAGTTTCTTCCTGTCGGGAGTCGGGCTCATCAACAGAGCCCGGTCCCCCACTGTCTGACTCACTTTCTTTCTCACTGCACAGGTCACTTTCACTTGTCACTTTCACCTGTCACTTTCTGTTTAATTTTAAAATATTTTTAACTTTTTATCTTTAACTTTTATTATTTTTTTTTTTTTTAACTAACCCATAGCCTTATACTACTAACCCTTAGCATTATATTTTATTTTATTCCTCGTGCACTGTTGTCTTGTCGTCCATTGTCGTACTGTCTGCTGTTACGCACCAACTGCCAAGTCAAATTCCTTGTATGTCTGACATATTATGGCAACAAATGTTTCCTGATTCCTGATTCCATCTGGCAGGAGCCTGAGGTCCATCGGGACTAAGACCTCCCGCCACACAAAAAGTTTTTTCCCGTCAGCAGTCATCAACAGAGCCTGGGTCCCCCACTGACTGACTCTGACATCCCTTTCCACCGGTCACTCCACATGCACGTACACGTCCATTGTCTGTTCTTTGCTTAGTTTCGTCCACTATTTCTCTCAAGATGGAAATCTTGTAAGGCATTGTACATTACCAGAGCCTGGGTCCCCCAATGACTGACTCTGACATCCCTTTCCACCGGTCACTCCACATGCACGTACACGTGTCACTTTCTGCTCGCTGGTGCACTTTATTTTTAACCTTTTTTTAACTTTAATTTTTTATTTAAATTCCTCTTGCACTGTGTTGTTGTTGTTGTACTATGTTTTCTAATCTGTCTTGTTGTCCATTGTCTTACTGTCGGTTGTTATTTACCAACCGCCACAAGTCAAATTCCTTGTATGTCTGACATATTTTGGTATTTTTCCTGATTCTGGGCGACTATGGGTGAGGGGGAAGCATGGTCGTCCACCTTTCAAAGGATTGGCAGTCCGATCCCTGGGTAGCAGTAGGGCCGAGATCCTCCTTGTGGCAGTGGCAAGTGGGTGGCAACTTTGTGGCAGGCAGCGGCAATCGCCAGTAAATCAGTCGGCGTCACAACGGCACGCTGGGTGGGAGGAGCCAATTTTTCCCAGAAACAACTGTTATTTGTACGACAGGTCAGCTGCTGTAAATATTTTATTTTATTTTATTTTATTTGAGACACGTGAGCCCCCGTCTTCTTATTACAGAGGCTAATTTTAGGTTTGGACCGGCGGGTTCCGTGTAGGGGGTGGGGCTCTCAAGTTTGATGCCACCCACTTGCCACTGCCACAAAGAGGATCTCGCTGTCACTCCTGGGTAGTGTGTGAATGTTAGTTACTGATAGGCAGGGGGCACTGTGTATGGTAGCTGCTGTCATTGGTGTGTGAATGGGTGAATGATGACATAAAGTGTTAAAGCGCTTTGAGTGCTCGAAAGTACAGTCCATTTACCATTTATTTATGACGGAGCAGCAAGCAGTAAGCAATCGGCAGATGCAGAGCGAAGTGAGCGGGCAGGGACGTAAGGCTTGACCATGAACCTGAATAAAAAAAACAAATCCTAGCTATACAATTTGAGGTAGGAACACAGAAACAATACCAACAAGGAGTCAAAATAGCTTAAGAACAGCAGATATAGAAGTGATCTAGCAGAAAGAAAATTTAGAAAGAATATCCTTAGCCTAGATCCAGGTAATCCAGTTGAATGATGTCACCTAGTCAAAATGCACTCTGAACTAAGAGGGTGAACATGAATTTTCATCAATAAACACCTTGTACAAAAATCAAATCAATACAATCACAATCTGTGTGCATGTTTATTAGAACAGAACAGAAAGATACTTATTTGAGTCAGAAGAGCAAATCCAAAACAGTTAACTTGTTGTTTGGATAGTAAGATAAACTAAACTTTATCTTTTCTGGGATTCTGACCACTTAAAGCGCTTCAACACTTAATGTCATCATTCACCCATTCATACTCTGATGGGAGGAGCTACCATACACAGAGACACCTGCCCATGTATGGAGATGGAAATCTGCAACCGAAAAATATAATAGAGTGAATATCAAAAAATATATATGAAGATTGAAAAAAAATATTTTATTAAAATAAAATGAGTCAAAACTATATTCATTCCGAAAATATTTTTCGTCCACTTATTTTTATTTTGAATACATTGTTGTATTTTTCAATGTTCAACCACAAAACTTGAACTTTCAGGTTCACATTTGTTTTTCAAATGAACAAAACTTTTGACCTGGATTTGGCTCCATACCCATCAGTAATGAACATTCACACATCATTGTCACAGCTAATCACAGCTTGCGTTAATTGTCTCTAGCCCTCTGTTCGAAGGAAGAATGTGGTTTCCACTCACAAACATTTACCAACCAATAGTTAACCAATAGTTCCATTTTAGCAATGACATACAACACGCTCCCTTCCACGTTGCGTCCACATCACACACATTATGGAATGGGACCATCTACATTGTCCATGTGGTCCAAGTGAAAAGTGTCATGGTTTTCTTATAAATTGCTTCTGATCTATGGATTTTATATTACCTGAACTCTGGCCTCCGTGAGTTTGGTCCTCTGGGCCAGCTCTTCCCTGGTATAGATGTCGGGGTAGTGAGTTCTTTCAAAAGCCTTCTCCAACTCCTCCAACTGCTCTGCTGTGAATGTGGTCCGGCTCCGGCGCTGCTTCCGCTTCAGGGGAAGATCAGGCTCTGACTCCACGTCCGACACTTCATCGACCCGACTGCCTGGACAAACACATTGTGGGGACACATAAGACATCACTCATCGCAGCCTGTTTCAAAAAGTATGTGAGTGTGAAGAGAGATACCTGTCTTATTGTAAGTCGCTTTGGATAAAAGCGTCAGCTAAATGACATGTAATGTAATGTAAAAGTAATGTCTCAAATAAGCTACCTGGATGCTAACTATCGTCTACGGTTTGAAAGTCGGCATTTTGAATAGAAGCACCAGTATGACAACATCACACTACTTCACATAAACTTACTTATTACAATTAGCTGATTTAATTGTTATTGGTGTTAAACTTTCAAAATGTGCAGCTCTTCAGATGGTAGAACAACAATAAAAGTCCAGGTTGATGACAACTATGCAATCTGGAAAATAATGCATTTCTCACAATCAGCAATGGAGAAATAAAATGTCTAATCTAAGAGAGACGCTACTCAAAACTATAGCTCACCCCCACTCTCCAGTCACCATCACCAGGCCACTAGAGGTGTAGACAGCTGACAACTGACCATCTTTTTTAGAGAGTGTCCCACCATTTGAATCTCATCTGTTAGTTACAAATCCTTGTGGTTTTATTGTCCATCAATAGCAAATTCAGTGGTACACTGGGTCAGTAGCAGAAATTAGTGATTTACTCTTGGGGAATACTCGCTTGTGATTGGCTGCAGGATGTCCATTGATTCCTGATAATGGATTCCTACTGATTTGCTCCAGTCTGTAACTGTAACAGTAACGGTATGTTAACGGTTCTAAATGAGTATGCTTAAATTGTTAATACTGTTCTCTGAATTGCCATATATAAACGGTCTCTCACATCCTTTCCGCTATTCAGTTCGCTACTCACTGCGGCTCTGTGTGCTGTGGCCTCTTATTTGTTTGTGAATATTTTGTTATTGATTTGGGAACAATGATATTGCTCAATTGCTAGCTTTTCTATTTGTTAAACATCCATCATCTGTATCCGCTTATCATATTGATTAATTGAAGGCAGGGCAGATGGACTGTTGTTAGAAGGTTATAAGGTTTTTTATTTGTTAGTGTATGGCAGAGTTGCACAAAAGAATATACCAAGGAAATGGAGGCAATGAATTTTGAGAAGCCTAAGATTTTGTTTGTAAAACTAAAAAACTAAAGTGTTTTTCTTTGGTAAGCTAGCGGGGTACAAGCAGGATAATGCCTTTCCATGGTCTGTCCATTGTCTGTTCTGTGCTTAGTTTCGTCCACTATTTCTCTCAAGATGGAAATCTTGTAAGGCATTGTACATTACCACAGTAAGTAAGGCACAACTTCTTCCAAATACAGAGAAAGGCAGGCAGAAGGATAGGGGATACGATATGCTTCACTGTGAGGTTATTTATACAACAATACGATTTTCTTGTGTTTAATAAGTACAATTCTATATCGAAACCCGCATATTTCAGCATCCCCTTGAGCAAGGTACTGAGATTTACAGTGGACTGAGCGGTGCTAATCTCTCGCAACCACCTTGGTGTTGAGTGTAGCACCATTCTTCAAATATGGGCTTCAGGGCAGCCCAGACAAACACACCAGGCTGAAAATAGTCCCAAAATATATTTTGTGCAGCGGATTTCACATACACAATGTGTCAATGCTACTGTTCAGAACAAGCCATGGAAGATTATCTGACTTTTGCAGGTATCAATTTTGAATGAGACTGCCTACTGATTACTCGGACTAGAGAGCAGTTCTAATGATACATAGAGCTTCAATTTTGGTAACAAAATACTTTAAAATAAGCAATAAGTTAGTTACTCATTACTTACTCATTTCATTTTGCTTTTGTAGAGAGGCAGTTACAGATAGAAAATACCTTGCATTATCATGTTGGGGAGAAAAGGCTGGACATATATATAGCATGTTTATAAAGGCCCCCAAATGATTTTATGCTGTGATGTGAGAAGAGAAAGAAAATTTTTGGTTGTCAATACAACACAGTGGTTTTAGTGGTCCAACGACGAGGTACAAAAAGTTATGCCAGAGAAGAATAAAAACTATTTCAAGACAAAAATCCCCAAATGCCACGTGCCATGTCTAAAATCAATTTGAAAAGGCATGCAATTACACAAATATATCAATGCAGCGCTGTTCATCATTGTTTTTTCATTAAAAAATAAATAAAGACAAACTGAAAAAGTATTTGATTTGGTTTGGTTTTTGATTTGATGCATTTTGTATAATTCAACAGACACCGCCTCACAATCTGCCGGACTGAAACCAAGATTATAGACAGATTTTAGTCAATGAACTCAATGAACTTGGAAGGCCCCTGTTGTCGCCCCCATGCTCAAACTTTTGATGAATTAGGTGTTTAAAATCACTTTGAACAGCGAGTAGGTCTCCAGTGAAGCAGATATATGTGTATTGTAAATGTAAATGTGTTCGTCAAAAAAATGTATTGTGGTGTTTGAGTTTTGGGTATTGACTGTAGAGAGTGGATGGCAGACATGGATATTTTCTCCCCTTTTTGGTATTTGTTTGTATGCTTGCCTTCATTGTGTGAAGAAGTTGGTCATGTGCTGATGCAGTAGGAAAGAAAAGGCCCATCAAAGTAGCTTAGGCAACTAGGGGTTGGCTCTGTGGTTTAATTAAACAAGGAATTATGGGATTAGTGCAAGGCTCTCGTTACAGGCCACTAGAAGAGTCTCAGGGAGAATATCTTTTTGTATCCCCCCCTTAACTGCCCCCCTTGAAAGCTCCTGCTAGAGAATTCTCAACGGATTACATGTGGCCGCAGGACATGCTGCAGCATTAATTAAATCAATTCTTTCTCAATTTACTTAAAAATAAGGTAAAAACATATACAACTACATATATCCATCAACAGTGTGTCTTGTTTTCAGCTGGTAGGTAGGTGTAGAGATGTGTGTGTGGGTCTGTGTGGAAGGGGGGGTTGCTGCAAAGCAATTTGGCACTAACTCAGCATGACAACACTTAAGGCCGCTGCAGATCACTTTCCAAAAGGCACCTCTGTCCTCGGGGTGCTGCTGTGACAGGATGGACTCTATTTGTTTTTCCTCCACATGCTGCTGGATTTAAGTGAGTTGAGGGGTTGAGGTGGAAGAGAGGGAGGGGTAACAGAAAATGAGGCTTCTTCGTCTCACTGTTTTTTCTCAATGGCTATTCCTCTCAGCCCAATTATTTAGCATCTGAATGAGAAAAGCGGCCGTAAGGCTTGTTGTAACTTGTTTACCTGTTTCTTTCTTCTTTGGAATCATGCTCCTGCCAATTCCCCCCCCCCAGACTTTTAGGTGCAAATTGTGTGTACAGCCAACAAAAATATAAAACAGGTGCAAAATTTGACACAATTTCCCACTGAGCCATATTCCCCCAATCAGTTGTGTTTATCTGAATATCTACTTTTGTTTTGTCTTTTGGCATTTAGGGCTCTGATTGGTGCTTTTGTCCTATCTTAGCATTGTTTATGCGCAAAGTCTGCAAAATGTGGGATGATTTTGGAAATTTTAAATAATTTGAAAAGTCATTTGTATTATTTATATTATTTTAAACCATGGAGAATAATAAGTTATACATTGTGCGACATTTGTTGACAATAATTGCATTAAAATCATATGCATTTTGCATTTATATTTGTCTTGCTTGTGTAAATACAGGGTAATATGAGGGCATATTGGTAAACTGACCTGAGAACAAAGCTCACAATAACTGGACGTGCTAATGGCAAAGTGTAGTCCGGGGTGTCCGGGTAGCTGCACTAAAAACCTGAAAAGCGTTGGTGGATTGGTAATGCACGCTTGCAGCAGCTCTACGATCAGTTTGGATGGCAGCACAATAAAGGATACCCAGAATGGAGGAGAATAAAGTTTGACAGGCCGCTGGATCAGGAGGGTCAGCTCCTCTCTCCAGCTGATAATGGAAAGCAGAGATTATGGTAATGAGACAGACGCCCAAAGCCGATAGAGGGGCTAAACCTGGACTTCATCTTTGTCTCCACCAGATCCCTCGATTGGCATGCTATGTCTTATCGGGAGAATGGGAACATAGTGCACACACACACACACTCCGAGGGTTTGCGATTGTACTGCAGTATATATAACAGCCTTGTATTGTAACAACGATAAAATATGATTAGTAGAGAAAGATATCTATGCTTTCAGATCACTGCACCGTATCATCATTCAAACCAGCCCTCAGAACCCACCTCTTCAAACTCGCTTTCAAAAGCTAACATGACTCATTCTCCAGTTCTATTTTTTTTTTTTTTTTTTTTAGTGTTTCTGTCTATTTCTCTTATCTGTATGTTTCTCTTACTTAGATTTATATTGTAACGCATCTTTGGGTACCCCAAAAAGCGCTATAAAAGTATTATTATTATCATGTGCAGCAAATACAGCACACACACATATTTATTTACTGAAATAATGCAAATACATTGCAGTTATATGTCAAACAGAAATACCCTAACAAAAATCTGAATTCTAGACTGAACCTTGAAACCAAGTCTGAAGCCCTTTGAAGCCTGAATTATACTCAGTTTTCAAAAAATTTCAAAAAAATGTCAAACTCAAATTGGTTCTCACATAGATATATAAGCGCAGATCCCCTGAAAGAAAATATAATTAAACAATTGTGGTCCAATACCATCCAAAGCCAGTTATTTATTGTGGTGTAAAATGATACATTCTTAGCTTGTATTAATTAACATGAATAATGATAGGTATAATTCCATATTCTAGCAAGAGCAATTTCTCACGAAATGAATACCCAATTATGTTTTCTCAGAATATGTACATTCTCCATCTTAACTGTATCTCCAAATTTAGTCCGAAACCGAGCCAGAACCAACCAACAGGAATATCCTGTACTCACCATAAACAAATATCTTCACACTGTTCAAAAAATTGGGTAAAATCTCAATTTATCTGTTTTAAAATGCTCCAAACACAACTCTATCAAGCATATGTTATGCAAATTAGTCAGGATAATCTTCACGTGGTGGTGCTTATTTCCAATATATA